GCAGGCAAAAGCGATGTCTGAGCCAAGTCCTCAAGTATATGCTTAATCAGATGGAGGCCGGGGAGGCGGTTTTCCAGACCCAGTAGGCAGAACCGAGGCAGGCTTCTGTTAACACATATATCACATGACTGGGATCATTTATTAAATACTTAACATAATTGTAATTCTTCTCAAAAATGCATGTTCCCTGGGGGCCAGGCACTTTGTCTCATTCATCTGTGAGTGATTAGGTAGGTGCCAGTGTTGGTAGAATCCATGGATGGATGGACAGACAGATGGGTACTTGCTGGCTAGAGAACTTGTTATAATTGGTTAATAAATTGACTTGCAGTCTCACAAACTGTACCTTCATGTCTGTCCTTGCCAGGCCCAAATGGCTGTTGCTAATGAGATAATGTGCGTTTTGTTCACTCTCCAGGCGGCAGGAAATGCTGTGAAAAGAGCCTCAGACAATCTTGTCCGTGCAGCCCAGAAGGCAGCCTTTGGCAAAGCTGATGATGACGATGTTGTAGTGAAAACCAAGTTTGTGGGGGGCATTGCTCAGGTTTGTGATTAAATCAAGAACAATGTTTACTTCCTGAGACAGTTGTTGGGTCCTAACAGCGAGGCAAAAGAACACTGACTTCACAATGAAAGTTTATTTCTTCCTCATGTAGCAGAGATGGTGTGGTATTTCCTTCCTCTCTGAGGACCAGATCCATCTGCCTTGTTCTTTTACCACCCTGGAGATGTGACCCTTGGCCACTTGGTCCACATGGGCTCAGTAGCCCACCTCAGCTTTCTATCTGGCAGGAAGAGGGAAAGGAGGGAGGCCATGACCCTGAGCTGCAGGCGTTACTTCCTCTCACATACCATTAGTCAGTACTTAGTCACATGGCCAACCCAGCTGCACGGGAGGCTGGGCAATGTAGTATTCTTTTTTTGAGTACTATTGGCCTAGATAAAAATCAAGGATTCTATCATAGAAAAGAGGAAGAACAAAAATGGAGGACGGTAATAATATTCTCCCAGAGCTTTTATACAAGCAGGTAGGATTCAGACTTGGGCAGGATTGCATTCTCATGCATGGGAGTAAGGAGAAAGCTCCAGGAAGTCAGGCTTGTACTTTTTGATGTGTCCGTCGTGTAAATCCATCGTAGGAGACTGTTGTATTTATCCGTTCCAGGAGTGCTGAAGTTACTCATTCCTCATACCTGCCTTAGCTCTTCCTGAACCACGCCCTGTGTTTGTCTGTGCACTGCAGGTGTTTTTACCAGAATGTGTTTCTCCATGCACTAATGCCATGAGAAGTTTCACAATGAAGGATCTCTGAGCAATAAGGCTGGAGAGAACTGCACTCAATAACCCCACCCTGGTAAAGGCTCTGAAAAGCCAGAAAAGGAACTGACTTGGCTTTTTTGAACACAGCTTACCCTTTTCACACAGTACCTATAAGCAAGTCTTCCTCAGATCACACCTTCAAAGCATGAAATAAGCATTTGAGGGCCCTCTGGTGGGTCAGGGCTCAGCTTTAGCTTTCCCATATCTGGACCAGGTCCTCCTCCACTAGCTGGGTGATTCCAGAGAAGTGGACCTCCATCTCTCAGCTTCAGATTTCTTACTGGAAAGACAAGACTGACAACAGGGCATGCTTCCCAGGGCAGCCACTTCAGTGAAGGGACCATCCATGTAATGTGTTCACACCAGAGCCTGGGACATAGTAGGGCTGCAGTAGAGGTTTGCTGTTAAATCACAGGCTTGTTTTCATGGCTCAGCTGGGTCATTAGTCTCAAAACCCAAACAGTGACAGAGGCTGGTCTCCAGAGCCAAGAAGGCTGTTCCTGACGTCCTGCTGTGCCTCACGGTGGCAGGAGCCTTGATAACTGCCGTGAGCAGTGGGGTGGGAGGGTTTTCTAGAAAGCGTTAGGTCCATCCAGCTTATTGCTTTCTTTCTAGATCATCGCCGCCCAGGAAGAAATGCTAAAGAAAGAGCGAGAACTGGAAGAAGCAAGGAAAAAACTCGCCCAGATCCGCCAGCAGCAGTATAAGTTTTTACCTACTGAGCTGAGGGAAGATGAGGGCTAGGGTGCAAGCCAAGATGGCGAGCCCCAGGGGATGGCCCTGCCTGAACTGGACAGACAGTGCTCTTGAGACGCTGGGCACTCACCTGGAAACCGCCCACCTTCCCCGGGACGAACCTGGGGCCCTGCGTGCTTGTTCTCACATCTGTCCCATCGGCACCAGCTGCATGATCGTGATGTCACACGGTACAATGTCCTACCCACAGCTCCTCCGCCGCGTCCCCTCATGCCTCACTGTGTCTCAGGAGAGAGGGGTGCATGTTTCGTGGACTGTTACCAATGAAGAAAAGTCAGTATTACGTCATTCTCAGACACTTTTGCTGTTGTTGGTCCTTCTTTTAGGCCTGCTCCTGGACCTCTTTGTGATACCATAACAGGGAAAAAAAATAATGGTTCAGAGGCAATCATTGATGTCATAGAATATTCTTCTTCCTCTCAGAAGGAGACGGAAGCTGGAGTTGGACACGGTCAATAAAAGCCAGAAACACAAACCCATGTGGACTCTGGGAGGGTGACTCAGGTCCTCCTTCCGTGTCTTGAGCACTGGCTCACCCGGGGGCAAAAAACTCCTGCTCCTGTTTGCACGCTTTCTTGCCTCCGTGAGTGTAAGCTCCTTGTACACCCTAGAACCATCTTTATCTTGTGGCCCAGACAATTGAACGATGATTTTTTTTTCCTCCATAGTCCAAAGGGCAGAGTTGTGGGAGGCCGTCAGGGCATGGTGAGCAGGGGCTGTAATAAAGTATGTGGGCTCCGTACTCTGCAGACGCTGTTTCAGTTCGTACAGATTCATCCACACAAACCCCCGTCTCCCAGCTGACAGTGCAACGCCCATCTCCTCGGTGTCCAGGGTGGGGACTCTGCTAAATAAGAGCTTCCTCAGTGACTCATCTTTAGGTCCCACACTGGTTTTATGCCTTCAGAGTGGTCACAAGTCCAGATTGGAAGGTATCTGCTTACAAACCTGTCCCCTGTCCTCCAACCCAAGATGCCTTTTTTCCCTCGGTCTTAATATCTGTAAAATCTAAATGCATCCCAAAATCAATGTGAACCTTTAACAAGATAGTTTTACTTATTATCGCAAAAGTGAAGATACAAGATTTTTTCAGAGTCCATCTTCTGGATGCCACACTCCCAGCATTGCATATTTTGCCCCTCTTCTTTCCCCTTTTCAGAGTCCTCCCATGGGAAGGGCACCTGAGGACCTTGAATTTACCCTTAATCTGAGCCGTTAGCCAAGGCAGTGCATGAAAGATGAATGGTTTGTGGGACAGAGTCTAACGCCAGGTAGCAAGAATGTTTGAAAAAAGTCATAGTGTGGGAGATAAAAGTGAATGGAAGTACATGATTTTCAAAGCTGGTAACGTTAAAGGCACTCACCCTTCGTATGCCATCATGTCTCGTACTCCATCCACGCTGTCGTTTCGATGTCCCACCGAGGGGGGAACGTTGCTCCTTTGGTCCTCCAAAGATGTCACCCTTCGAGCTTGCTTGATGATCTTTCGATCCTAGCCCATGTCATGGTTTAAAAACATATAATTAAACTTTTGACAGCTTCCCATATTCCTAAGATATTTGTTAAGTGCTGCACATACTGGAATTTTTTTTTGAAAAGGAAAAGCAAGTGAGTCTGTAGGGCCCTGAGTGTGTGGACACCAGTTCTGAAGAGGAGGGGAGCTGCTGGAGCCCGAGCATCTTGAGGAAAAGCCGGCATGCCCTCAGCTTGCCCTCTTTGAGTAGGGCTGCTCCAGCACCTCACGACTACCCTGGCGGGACACACAGGAGGGGCACAGGTGCTTCCAGAGGTACTCAGGATTCAGACCCCAATGCTCAGGGTCACGATGTGTTCATGGCCTCCTGTAACAGGACTCTGGGAACCCCTCTGTGGCCCAGCCCACTCCACCCTCTGTTCCTCTGCTGTGCCCCGGACAGCTGTCCCTCTTCCATCTGTCCCTGTCACATCCTGGAATCCCAGGACTGAGGCAGGAGCAGGCAGTGAGTTCTTCCACCCTGCCTCAGAGTTGCTTAAAACCTTTACTGCTTTTGATACCAGAAAAACCTCTGGAGACAAACCAAATGGAAAGGCCTGTCCTTTACAACTCTTAACAGCCACTGAAGAAAGTTTCTTTTTGTAGCAGCTATATAAAGACTCTCTTTCTGGAGTTGTCCAGTCCTAGGAGCTTTGGGGAGTCTGGTTCTCAGTTATCATCTGGTGTGGTTCCGGTTTCTCATCTGTCCCTTCCTCACCCACCCTGTTTATGTGTATGTGAACAGCCTCGTGGCTGGCATGGTGGCTTCTCATTTCATAAGATGGTTGAAGGACAAAGCTTTGGACATTATTTAATAGGCACTACCGCGTGTCCTCGTTCTTCAAAGGAAAATAACACAGGCATGAGTTCAACTGGGAGTGTGAACTTTCAGAGCATCTAAGTAGAGGGTGGTGTCAGGGTAACAGTGATCCCAGGTCTGGAGCACAGAAGTCTATCTCTGTGTGAAGCGGGAGCAGGTGTGTTGCTATGTGTCTCTCTTCACACTCCTCTACTCCTTGAGGGCAACGAACTGGGCTTTGAATCATTGGGCTAATCTTTTATCCGCCAGAAATTGCTGTTTCTGATGGCCAAGAGGGGAACCTGAACTTGATTTCAGAATGGCCTAGTGATTTGGAAATTTGGATTTTACTTGGTTCTGCCTTTCAGAAGTCTTTTAGATACAGATGCTAAGGTCATGTTTGGTTAAATGAATAGCACTTATTTAAACTTTGCCAGTGTCCAGCCAGCTCTGGCCCTGGCCTCCTACGTAGGCAGACACCTTGATTCCTGATGGGCCCTACAGTCTCACTGCGGCGCCTCCAGCTTGGCTGCTGAGGCAGCTGCCCAGCCTGCAGTCTATGCCTGGGCCTTAAGAAGTGAGCTGCCTGTAGCCTTGCCGGCACATACTTTCATCAGGGAAAACCTTTTGAGCTGCTCCTGAGTCTCACCTGCTTGCTTTCTGGCTTAATGCGTTTACAGGCAACTAAAGCCTGTTCCTAGTTTATCAAAAAATCGTAACCAAAATTCACCACAGCCTAAGAGAGTAAACCTTACCTCCAAAGTGACCCCAAGGCCAAAACCTCCTGAAGGAACCAGAAACAGGGAAAAGTGGTGAGCAAGCCATGGTCTCTGCTCCTGGGGAACTGGCAGGTCTCTCCCTGAGGAGGTTTGGGTTCCTCCCTGGCAGGTGGTCCCCAGAATCTTCTCTCTCAGCCCTGAGGTTCAGGGCTCTGGAAAGGCCTCTGGGATTCTGGCCTAAAGACCCCAGCACAGACTGTACGCATCCTCCATTCTCAGATTCCTGGAGGAAAGGTACCATCTGTTGACCAAGGGGCTGGCTGCTAGAAATTTGGAGACGTTCACCTCAGGCTAAAGGGCAGTGGTCCCCAGACAGAGTTCAGAAAGCCAAAGATCTTAATAGCTATGCTAGTAGTGGCTCCGGTCCCATCTCGCCACAGTGCTGGCCTCCAGAGGCGACCTCTGCTGGGGAAGGTATCTCTCCCAAAGGCGTCCCCAAGTACCATGTTGAAAATGTCCTGAGGCTACTGCTCTATATTTCTGAGCCTGTGCTTGGTATGTTATGTTTATGATCATTACGGATGAGTGTGTGCAGAGCTTCGGCTGATTGATTTTTTTAAATGCTACATTAAAGAGTTATTTCTTTTCAATAAAAGAGGTCCGGATTCGGCCTTCCTCTGAGCCCACCTCCCAGCCCTCCAGGGAGCATCAATGTACCTGAGTCACTGTGTCAGCATCTCTTCATCCCACAAAACATGAGGCTCGGTCTCATTCAGCTGCCTCTCACCAGCCTGCAAGATCCAGAAGAAAACAGGAACTCCCATCTCTGCCTGTGTCATGTCTATTCACATACATTAATTTATCTAACCACATAAGTTATTTTTTTTTTATTCGCCAGAAATAAACCTTTAAAGAAACGAACCTGTGTGGAGGACTCATGGGAACGGGAGGAAGGTGGAAAAGAAGGGGATAGAGTCCATCCTTATGAGAGTAAAATTCCACCTTGAGGACAAGATAGTTACCACAGTATGTAGGGAGAGAGAGCACATGCGTGTGAGTGAGTGACAGATGCGAAGCCATAGGGTGCCAGTGAAGTTCATGCAGTTTTGCCGACATAAGAGTTAATTTGGAGAAATCGGCCTTGAGTGGGAAGACAGTTATTTTCCTCTGAAAGGAGCAGGCGTCCTGGACAAGTAGCTCGGGGGCTTTTTGGCTTTGTATACCACCTCTGTCAAAACTGCACAGCTAAGTAGGGAAGTGCATATGGGGTCATCTCCATACATGACCCAGGCCCTGACACAGGAAAGTCAGATTCAATTCTGACAGCTGAGGCCACAGCTGCAACCCCGAGAAACTGCCAGGCCCCCCTTCCTGCTTTGGGGTGGGAATTGCTGGGCCAGAAGTCACTGTTGGGGGCAGCCAGACTTAGAAATGTGAGGCATTTTTAATCTGCAAGAGGGGGTGTCAGAGAATCACCATAGCAACCAAGAGAGTCATTGGTGTGTCTAACAACCAATAAGAATTTTTTTTTCACCCTTAAAAGGATGATTTAGGATCTCTAAGCCAGTTAATAATGAAGGTTTTTATACCTTTACTTAACAAGAACAACAAAAATGAGGTTGGGGCTGACGACACCCAAAACGAAGGCAGTAAGCCTGAGCAGATCAGGAAGGGGTGAGGGGACTCACTGAGTCTCCTGGGTGACAGCTCGATGCTGCTGGACACTCGGAGCCCAGCCCTCGGCAGCTGTGGGAAGGTGGTATGGCCATTTTGCAGAGCGGCAAACCGAGACTCACGCAGGAAGTGGTCATGTCTGCAGGAATTCAGATCCCTTGCACACACAACTCAATCAGACTGACCCATCAACAAAGACCTTACCTTAGAAGTGCCCCGGCTCCTGCTGTGTATAGGACCCTGGAGACGCAAGCCTACTTCCTGGAGGTGGTCACAGTCCAGAGAGGGCAATCGTTGACCTAGGGCAGTGCCCTGAGGCTGGGAAGGATTTCCAAGAGGAGGACATTTGGCCCAACTCCTAATGAACAGGAGTTCCCCAGGCAGAGAAGGGGTGGGGGTGGTACCAGGCCACAGAGACTGCACTTACATAGACCGGGGTCTCTGAAGAGGCAATTGTTTAAGTAGGTGAACAATTCGGTAAGGCTGGAGAGGAGGGCAGCCAGGAGCACCATGAGGGGCCTTGTGTCAGGGAGAGCACTTCACATCCAGTTATCAGATGAATCACTGCAGGAGATCAGGAGACTCTGTCCAGGGACAATTCATGATGGAAACAAGAGATGCACTAACAAAACAGCAACTGGAGGATGAATTCAGTTCCAAGGTAAAAAATCCAGAGCAGGAAGCAGACTGTGACCTGGGCCAGAGCTGCCCGATGGGAGATGCTGTAATAGGAGGGGCTGCTGCCGGAGGTAGGATGGGGGAGCGGTGTTCCATCACTGAGATAGCTAACACCTCCCCTACACCTACGATGTGCCAGGCACTCACCTTTATCTCCTTTACTTAATCTTCACAACTATACCCAGTACAGCTCATGGGTGCTCTTATCTCCATTTTACAGACAGCAAGGTTGAGGCACAGAGAGGCTAGGTAACTTGCTCAAGGCCACGCAGCCAGCAGAACTGGGATCTCCCAACCACTATGTTAAGATCACCCACCTTGTGAGTGGCAAAGACAAGACTGAAATTCCAGTTTGTTTCCAAAGCTCTTTTTTTTTTTTTTAAACAGCCTAGGGAGAACCTCAGTCCGAGCCTGGCCAGTGGGATAGAAATTAAGCAGGCAGACACAGGGGGAGGGAGCTGGGGACAGAGGGGACTGTGTGCATGCGGCAGAGCCTGGGATGTGGTGGGGGCCCCTGGGCGAGTAGGGACAGAGCACATAGGGGCTGGCAGGGGCTGCAGGAGAGGCCAAGTCTGCACATGTCTGCGCGGGGGAAGAGGACGTTCCAGGGCTGCTGAGTGAGCCCGTGCTGCTGAGCTTGTTCTGTAACATGCAGCTACAAAGAGCCTTGCTTTACTTTATTCCCATCGAGTGTCTCCAAAACCCTGCTTTGGGGTCTTTTATCTTTCAGACCACAGCTCTATTCTGGGTTTAAAATAACCGTGTTCACAGGTAGCTGTATGGCTCTGAGACATTCCACCAGGCACTTTTATTTGAACACTCTCCACCCCAAGCAGAGCATAATGGCAGGAGTTTTGCTGCCTGAATTCTCCAAGGTGAGAAGCCCCAGCCCAGACCCTCTATGGCCAGGCTGACCTGGGGGTGGTGGGCGGAAAAGCCCGCCCGTGTGGGCTGGCACCTAGGAGGGACAGTAACAGGGCCTGAGCTCTTTGGGACATATTCGGAGTCTCCTGCCTGCTTGGAGCCCTATAGGGTTCTGTGAGCCCCTCCCTGCTGGTGCGGAGACCAGAAACTGTAGAAATGAAAGACATAGACACAGAGAGAGAGAAAAGAGAGTTTGGGCTCGGGGGTCCACTGCCAACCAAAATGCGGAGACCTGCAGTGGCCCCGGGTGACTGGACACTCTTTTATTGAGTACAGAGCAGTGGGCAGGGAAGGCAGGGTGAGGTAATGGTGGTCAGTGACAGGGTCAGGTAAATCACGTGTCTGCAAGGTAGGGGGCCCAGGACTTCCAAGTAGCCGAGGCTAGGGGAAAACCTAATGCGTCAGCACTCTTCGCATATTTGTCAGAAATATCAAGGACACTAAGATTATGTTACTATTATTAATTCATATCTTTTAAGAAAAAGAGAAACCAGGTGCAGACGCAGGCATGAGAGCAGACATGGAATGTGACCACCGAAGCACAGCATCACACAGAGACGGTTAAGCCCCTGGATGTCTGCGGGCCTCCCTGACAGCCATCAGGCCTTGCCACAAGAGCTTGGAGAAGTGGAGTTTTCTCCTGACTTCTCCAGGAAGGAGGCATCTCGGCCATGCTGGACATCTCCTTCCCTAGCTGGCTAAACAGAGGGCGCTTTCACAGTGCTGGCGCTGCCGCACAGCCCAGGCAGACTTCATGTGGGTGTGACAGAGGGCTTACAGTGTCTTGCCTTAGGATCACTTTGTTCACAATGTCACCTCAGTTCCATGCCTCATAACCTGACAGTCAGTAGTAAAAGTTACACTGAGTATGTATCTTTATGGTTATAAGTAACTGTAAGATTATATGTGATTATATAAAGGAATAACTATGTGCCTACATTTCTGATTCTTTTCTAAATTAATATTTATATGGGAACAGGCTGAGGCTTCAGACCCTTGCCGCAGCACCTGCGGGGTTCTCCCTACACTCAGACGTCTCTCAGGAGAATCTGCAGCTTATTTTCAGAAAGAGAAGTTTAATTCCCTTAAGCTCACAACTAAATGTTGGAAAAATGCTTTCTGGGCTTATCAGAAGGCTGACCTGTTCCACATGGGGTCCAAACAAGTCCTGGGGTAGCCCAGGGTGAGAAGGGGCCCAGAGGGAGGCCATGTGCCCAGCACCTCGGTGTTGCAGAAGCATTCGGGGAAAGCAGGAAGGGAGAGATGCTTAGAGGCTGCAGGGGAGAGACGGGCTCGTGTCCTCTCAGCTCCCTGACTCTATGGGCATGAGAGGAGACAGAAAGAGAAGGCAAGTCACAGTCCTTCCTTCCAAAGATCTCAGACCACCCTGGAGAAGCCAGTCTCCTGCAAGGAGAAATGAGAGCAATGCAAACTGTCCAGTGTCAGGGAGGCCGGCAGGACTCCAGCCTCAGGGAGGGCTCTTGAGGAAGGTAGGTCTGGGGAGGAGGTGGGCTGGAGTAGATTCTCAAAGGATGGGAAGCAGCCTGGGGCTACTGAATAGGGCAGAGAGAACAGTGAGGGTATAGGCATGCAGGCAGCAAGGAGGGATGCGGGGAGAGGACTGTGCAAGGCTTAAATCTAGAGGGACAGCTAGGGACAGAGGCTATCCGGCAGGGCCTGCACTCCTTGGAATCAGGGCTGCATTCCAAAGGAAGGAGGGGCCGGGGAAGCTGGGAAGACACAGAAAACCCTTCAGGCTGGCCACCATCCTGCCTCAGTGCCACATTCTCCACGCCTGCAAGCTCATCAGCAGCTCACCTGATGGATCGGGGCATTTTGCTTGGCTGCCAGCAAGCCACATAGCCCTCTTCTCTGGTTTGCATCCTAGAGGCACCTGTATGTGCTGATTCGATGGATCCTGACAGGGAAGTGTGCCAGTCACGGAGCTTCCCGGGTTGCGTTGAGGAAAGCCCTCTGCACCCAAGTTTGCGGTCCTCGCTGTTCGGCATCCCAGGTGGTTCTGACCACAGGGGGCAGTGTGGTTCCATGGGACTCCCATAGATCCAGCAGTCCTGTTTTCCTGGAGAGAAAAAAGGAGGCATTTCATGGGTAAATAAGTATCAGAAATCAAGCTATGAAAGGTAAATAGGTTATCAGTCTTATTTTTGAGACAGAGTTTTGCTCTTGTTGCTGAGGCTGCAGTACAATGGTGCGATCTCGGCTCACCACTACCTCTGTCTCCCGGGTTCAAGGGAATCTCCTGCCTTAGCCTCTCAAGTAGCTGGGATTATAGGCATGTGCCTCCACACCTGGCTAATTTTGTAGTTTTAGTAGAGGTGGGTTTCTCCTTCAGGTCAGGCTGGTCTCAAACTGCCGACCTCAGGTGATCCATCCACCTCAGCCTCCTAAAGTGCTGGATTACAGGTGTGAGCCAACTTGCCCAGTTAATAGGTTAATAGTTTAATAAGTCTCTTTGAAACTTCTTAGTGGCTTTAAGATACTCATACGTATAACAGATGGGGCTGCCCAATTTGGAGGGCCTTGGAGCAGTTTTAAATTTCCATATATTTTGAAGGACAGATGTTCTAAAGATCACACCTTCAGAAACACTGCTCCCAAATTCTATTGCAATTACTGTCTCCCGTCCCCACTTAGCATGCCACACACTCAGTCTAGTGTTACCAGGTAGTATTCCGCCTCTGCAGCAGCCTCATCTAGGGAGCAGGCAGGGATCCCATGCAGCCTCCCTAGCACCTAAAACCAAGCCGTGGACATGTGAGATATTTAATAAAGATTGATTGCCTGGGTGAAAACTTCCGACCATGCAGTTTGTAACTCGTGTTTACCACCTGCTTGCTGTCAGCTGCCTTGGACTCTGGCTGATTTGAGATTGAACAGACTGAAAAAGCCCGTTCCCAAACAGCTACCACCCACCTTCTTCCTCCTCCCACCTCCGCCGTGGCCTTGCCACCCCGCAGGGCAACACTATTGCTTAAGACTAAAATAGTTTCTCTGAAAATCACTTTTCTAGGGTTTCCTTCCTAAAACAGCTGCAAGGAAATACAACTTGATCCTAAATATCCTGCCATCTCCTGGTAATTCTCCCCACTGTCCAGCAAAATCCAGATGACAGGCTCCAGCTCAAAGGGAGTTGTTTATTTGTTTATTGAGATGGGGTCTTGCTCTGTTGCCCAGGCTGGAGTGCAGTGGCATGATCCCAGCTCATTGCAACCTCCATCTCCCAGGTTCAAGCAATTCCTGCCTCAGCCTCCCAAGCTGCTGGGATGACAGGCACCCACCACCACACCCAGTTAATTTTTGTATTTTAGTAGAGACAGGGTTTCACCATGTTGCCCAGGCTAGTCTCAAACTCCTATCCTCAAGTGACCCACCTACCTCAGCCTCCCAAAGTACTGGGATTACAGGCATGAGCCATCATGCCTGGCCAAAGGGAGCTGTTAGCGAAATATTGAAAGGACCTCGGACGGTGTGAGCCGATCGCTACCCAACAGTGACCCTGGTCTGAATGCCAGTGGAATGTGAAGACCATCTGAAAAAGAAGGGGAAGGTGGAGGGGGAAAGGGTACTTCAAGAAGCAGAGTTTCCTCCTGCAGCTCCAGGCTTCAAAAGGGCACTTGAAATTCAACTCCCCAATCCTTCCTTCCGTTTTCTTACCTCATGAGGTAGCACGATGAAGCGAATAGAACAGACAGGCTTTGAACGTCAGAGAGACGTGGCTCTGAGTAAGCCTTGGCTTTCAAGCCTGTTGGGGACAAATAACAGACGTACTTGACTTCCCAACATCTCTTCTCCTCTGCCTTGCGGAGTCCAGCAATGTTTGGGGGGAGCCTGAAGTCAAGGGTACCACCATTGCCCCTGTGGGTGATTAGTTCCGGAATGGGCATACAACCTTATTCCAGCCAAGGAGTTAAGCGAAAATGTCTGCTGGAGTTAAGAGGAAACACACTCTTGACCGTGTGTTTACTGAATAGATAATATGTATTTCTCTTTCCCACTCCCAGATCCCAAATTCCCTGCCTCTTTGGCCCACCTCACCACAAAAGCTCCATAGTTTGTTCAAGTAAGTTTGAATGGATGCTCCTTTGGGGAAACTGCAGGGGTTAATGGAATAGTTTCAGAAAGGAGTGAAAATGTCTCAAGAGTTGTTCTGTGATGGAAATTGGTCTGTTGTTCTGTTAATGCTGACGGAAAGAAA